AGAGAGAGAGAGAGAGAGAGAGAGAGAGAGAGAGAGAGAGAGAGAGAGAGAGAGAGAGAGAGAGAGAAACAAGACAAGGGTGGCACAACAGCTTTTGCCTTAATCAAGTTAAGGATGCTAAAAGAGTCTATGAAAGAATCCTGCGTATTCTGGGCCAAAAGAAAGTTACGACCGCTTTTCGGTCGATCAAAATACTTGGTGATATACTCAAGAAACCTAAAGAGCGCCCAAGCGTAAATCAGGTGACTGGAATTGTTTACAAAGTCAATTATAGATCGTGTTCGTTGGTATACATCGACGAAAGCAAAAGATCTTGGAACTCTCGAGGGGCAGAGCACAAGCCTGGTACAAGAGGAACAATGAATCGGCAATTGAACAGCACGCGAAAACGACTGGACATAATATCCATCCCAGCTACGTAGAAGTACTAGAACGTAGCGTCAGCAACCGACGAAAACGTTTTTTTTTTTCCTTAGAATCTTGACATTCCACGATAAATTCCGATGCTGTAAATAAGCGCCAGTTTCTCCCTAAGGCCTATTTGCCTTTTATTGTGCTCCTTAGGGTTCAAAACATGTCTTAAGACTCTGTTAAATTATTCATCTAGATATTTTACTCTGACGAAGGTAAACAGAACTTTGTCGAACACTTATCATTTTATAGCATTTTTTGAGGTTTTAATTCCGTGTTTTTATCAAGTTGAAGCAACACGAGTGGAAGTTAAGGAGAACGAGAAACACGAGTCGACAGCTACGCGAGATTTTTCTCAGGTGTTTCTATAACTCGGTAGTGTTTTTTATATATTTTCAGATAACAGCCCAAAGAAAGTATCGAACAACGTGATTACGACATCTGTTCCGTGTTTCTATCGAGTTATGAAAACAGAGTTTTTAACCAATCAACGCGCTTTTTTTTTTATTTTGGGCTATTTTCTAAACAGAAAAATAAAAATAAATACGTAAATATGGAAATAAATAAATAATTTTATTACAACCATTTTGAAATCACTGGTTATCCTTGCAATCTGATTGGCTCGCAGCAGTGCGATTTATTCACGAATCGCACTATTTTTTCTCTATATCGCATCTTTTTCTCAGCCAACGAGAATGGGGCAGTAAAACAAAATAACCAATCAGATTTCAAGGTTAGTTTAAAGTGACCAATAATATTTCAGGAAAATGAAAGACTAAAAGCTATCGTGTGGTGAATTTTGCAACTATTATTGCCAACTTTGTTGTTGTTGGTTTTCTTTTTTCTTTTCAAAACAATTGACAAATTTAATTAATTAGTTTCCGAATTACGATTATGAGCTCCTTCAGGCTGAAGACCTACTTTAAGGGAAGTTTCCAACCTTCAGTGTCCATTTTGACGAATATTTTGGCGATTTTTCTTCATCATCTGCTTAAGATCCGTATGATACCGAGTCCAGAAAACGTAAACAAACGAAAACCACACAACAACAAATTCATAGCACTCTTAAGAAGGTAGATGTTTCCACGTTTCCTGTAGTTTCAAAAGAAGCAATACAAGAGCTCAACTCTGTCACTGTGAATAAACATAGTCAAAATACGGCCCGATCCATAAAATAGTGAATGAGCGAACGTCTTCCAGGTCTTCCTAGTGCAGTCGAGCCATCTTGAAAATATCTTGAAACAAATGGCGCAGCAAGAACTTGACAAGGTCCCGAGTTCTACGTTGAGGTCACAAAAAGAAACGGAGATGATGATGATCTGAAATCTCTTAAAATCATGCAGAGAGCCATTGAACGGGTATTCAAAAGAGAAAAACTATCCAGTGGACATCGTGAATTCGAGGGAGTTTCACAACTCGAAAGAAATCCATCGCAGAATTACACCGGCTGCACCTTCAAATTCCTTCTCCAAAGTCTAAGCCTCAATCACAGAGGAAAGGAAGGCCTTCAATCATTGATTCAGACGACGAGAATTGAAATTTTATGTATGAAGCAGACTGTTTTTGTTCTGACTTCAGAACTGCTTGTTCCTTTGATATACTCGAATGAGTTTTCGTCACATGACATCGTTTTGCATACTAAATGAGATGCAAAGGTGTTTCCGGTTCCGCTATTTTTAACAAACCGGCTAAACGGAACAATACATCAAAATCTAAAATTTAATTAAGGCGATTTGAAAATGGATCTAACAAAGTGGTAATTGAGCTTCGTGTCGTACAATTTTGGACTGAAATCATGCCTGTGATTTCAAAGCGAACTCGCGCTGAGCGCTCGTTCGATTTTGAAATCACGCGTATGATTTCAGACCAAATTGCACTCCACTCAGTTTAATTACCATCATATATGTCACCTTAATCATGTACCCTCTATTTTCACTTCAAACTTCTTGCCCTACCTAGTAATGTACAGTACGTCTGTGTCAGTTCACGTTCTTTTTGACGCGCTTACATGATCCCCAACTGAACAATCGCTCATTGATAGGTTCTTCAGACGTTATTTAAAATTTTTCTGTCTCAAGCAAAACAAAACCAGATATGATTTAAAATGATGTTTCCTAAGTTGAAATTCATTTGCTTTGACGGTATTTTATTATATTTCATTTCTTTGAGTCCAAATAAAGTTGCCCCGGTTAGACGAGTTGACCCTAGAAGAGCGTCTATAAGGCAGGTAGAGTAGCCAGGCGCTAGGGTTACCCTAGTGCTCAGCTATGGTTACCCTACTGCCAGGGTAGCCCTATTTGCCTTGCAAACACGTCTATGAAAAATTAAAACTAAGTGGTAAAAGTAACACTCTAAATGATACTATTAAAGGAGGGTCTATTTCTTCGCGTCAAGCAAAAGTAAGGGCAGTGTCTTGTCGAAATCTTTGACACGGACATTCTGAATTAAATTTGACGAAGAACAAAACTCCCTGTCAAGAATTTTACAACCATTTCGCTAGTAACACCTGGCGAGTGCAGTGAGTTCTGTTCGAGCACGAAATCCTACACTTAAGTGCAAAAAAGGTTTCAACTTTAATTCGTTAGAATCTGTTACTGTTTCTGATATTTTCTTAATCCCTTTTTGGTGAATTTTCAATGTCAATGTAGTCTTAAGAGAAAAAATAGACCGAAAGGGTTCTCAGAGAAATAACTCTTTTGGAACCGTCAGGAAACAAAATCACAGAGAAGTAAACAAAAAAAACGCACTCTTTAAACGGTTGTTTCTTCTTTTTTTTTTTCAGTTTTGCTAGGACGCTTAACCAAACTTCTTAAAAGTTTAAGTGGACATGCAATCAGGACCAAAATTTAAGCTTTTGATGGTGGGGATGGTTGTTGTTAGGATGTAACATTAGGGGCTAATTAAATCTTTCAGTAAGAGTGGGTAACCATATTCTTGATTCAAAATCTGAACCTTCCATTGGAGACAGGAGGAGGCAGATCAACACAAACATCCAAGCCGAACAACCCACTTACGGCCTCGTTTTCAAGCCTTCTCAATTCAAACCATCTCAAACAATACTTTTGGCAGCAATACAAATATACTTCCCAGCCAGTCGAAGGCTAATTTTCACCCAGTAAGCCCAGATACCCCATATGGAACGCCTATTTTTTTATGCCACTGACACTATCAGTGTTGCTTTTAAACTCGCGGATAGACGAAGCGTATAGAAACGTGTTTGTTGCGGGGACTCCGATATGTAAATGTGTCGCTCACTCAAGTGTAGACACTGTTCGTAATTAGTCTGCCCGGACGAGAGCGCACGAGTCCGATGCCAAAAAGTAACCAAGCCGGACGCCATATTGGAATAGTAACCGAGCCCGACGCCATATTGGAATAGTAACCGAGCCTGAAGCCATGTTGGAATACTAACCGTTCAGTCACCGCTAGGCTTTCTGCCCAAATTCATGATTTTTCACACGACCATTAGGTGTTTCGTTAAATTGAAGTGGAGTTCGAATGTTTGAATTAGTACTATGGCCAACTTGAAGGCTGAGTTTCATAAACCTTTGACTCGTCCAGGCGTTAAACATGACCAGGAGATGAGCATTTGTTTGCTGGAAAGTGACCTGATATGCTAATGTGGTAAGCTTGGATGAGAATTTGTCTTATTCGTCGACCTTAATGAACTTATATGAGCGAAGCGAACAATTTTCAATGAACGAAACAGCTATTGAAAACAGGACAAACATCGGCACCACAATATAATATTGTAATTTCATTTTTGTAATTTAGTAACATCTAAACCTGAGGCCAGCCGAAATATTGTTTTAAATATACCACGTTGTGTCAGCCTTGCAGTAGTCTTTGACTTATTATCGCTTTACTTTTCAAGTTTGGCTGATTATAGTTCTCCTGTGAGATCCAACGTTCACTCAAGCAGCACTTTCGTTCGCAGCTTTGCAGTTTGTATGAAGTTTTTCATGTTGAGTTGTCCACGTTCAACCGACATCGAGTTAAGTTTCGAGATTAAAGTTGTGTTCTCTATACTTGTCGTGTTTATTTTAGTACGTTGATCCGATCTCTAAGTGGGATGTAAAATGCACAAAAACTTAGAAAGAAATTCCCAAATACTTGATGTTGATAAGCTTTTAAAAATGAATTCTACCCTGTCTTTTGTTTGCGCTTTTTCTTCTTGAATGAAAAGATAACTGAGGGAAAGAAAACCCCTGTGAGCTGGTTGGAACACATATTTATGGGTCGACAGATTTTTCGGATCAACACTGAAAATGCTTGCAAAAGAGTCTATTTATTTTGATGTATTTAACGGATAATAATATACAGAGACACGCGAAAAGAAGAAGTAAAGTGTTGAAGAAGTGCTGTCTCATAAGAAACCTTACCTATAGCCTTGAATGAAATGTAATGAAAATCATCTGTAAGCTCGTACGACTTGACTACATGTAAATTTTCCCACCTGGCAGACAAAAATCAACATCATGATCTGGGTGTGGGGAAAGAGGGGGGAGTACTCTATGATTTTTTTGGGCAGGAGTGTCCTCTGTGACCCAAGAACCCTTAGCCTTTACCACTCCATGTTCAGCTGCAATTTTGCCACCCTAGCTATATTCTGGACGTAGGTGTTTGTAATTTGTGTGTAACAAAAGCGAACGAATCAAGCGTACCCTTTGTGAGATAAGTGCTACCATGCGTGGTATGAACCCGGCTTGTTTTAACAGCCTTTAATAATACACCAGTGATAGCAAGTTCACCAACATGTTTCATCTCTAGATTACTTAATCCACGAGTTTGACCATAGGTCTTCTTTGATTATTACTTATATACAGGCGCTTTCCTACCTAGTGGAAAGGAATTTTACAGCTCTACTGGCGTCTTATCTACCTTGAATAGAGATAGCTCAGTCAAACTTGTTGCTACCCGATCGTCTGAAGGGCCGGGAAAAGCAAGTGATATATTTCACCACAGCAAAGGCAAAGAGAGTGGAACAGCTGCGATGAAGGGTTCCTGGTGGTGTGTTGACTTGGGCGAAAATTATCGCTTGGTTATCACACACTACGCTTTAAGGCACGGAAAAAAAGATGGTGAATCAATTCTTCGAGAATGGAAGCTTCAGGGATCCATAGACGGTCTCATATGGACAGATCTTAACAGTGCTAAGGATCCAAATGACCCCCTACAGTTCCGTGATCCCTCTCCATATTTTACAGGCAGATGGACAGTCGAAGGCGAAGTGGGGGCCTTTCGTTACTTCCGTATTTTGCAGACAGGCAGGAATTCCTCTGGCAAATATGGAATTTATTTATCTGGACTCGAGTTATACGGAACACTCGCCAAGATATAACCTGTTTTAAGTCCTGTATAACACTACGAGCTATGAAAATTTTAAGGATATTAACTGAAGACCAGGGAACTCTAAATATCAAGAATTGCCAGAAGAAACCCCTTGGTGAACTATCTCGAAAATAAGACTAAAACTTGCCCGAGAGGTTTTGATTTTGAGAAATCCAACAAAAAGTAGACTTGCGGTTTTCGCGCTGCGGTCGCCATTAAATTCAGCCGAAAAATTGGGCATATTCACATCACTCTCAGAGAAAGACGGTCGGCTAAATTGAGAAGTGGCGACATGGAGTTACTTGTGCTTGTGTGACCCTCGTAATTGCAGTTTTTACGCGTAAAAATCCTTTTCTTACACAGGTCTCACTATATGGCTTCTCAATTGCCCAAGCTGAAGTTTTTATATGCTGTAGAACAATAACAGAGCTTTGTAAAAACGTATTTTTCATTTAAAACTTCCGTGTACGAAAATTGCCTTCAAAAATGCCCTATCTTAAGGCTTTTTTCAAAGTGCTAAAAGCAGCAATCTTCAGGCGCCTCTAACCCAAAGTGAAAATGCACTTCTTGGCAATATTTTTATACCTTTGTGTTTTAATTGTGATACAAAACAAGCATGTAAAAGACAATTTTAAAAGGCCGAGCCGTCTTTCTCTGAGAGTGATGTGAATATGCATGCCCAAGTTTTCGGCTCAATTTAATGGCGGCCGCAGTGCAAAAAGTGCAATTCTACTTTTGGTTGGATTTCTCAAAATCCTAGACTCTCTGGCAAGTTTTAGTCTTATTTTCGAAAATAGTTCACCAAAGGGTTTGTTCTGGTTTGTTTGTTCTGATCTCAGTTTTGGAAGTCAATTCTCAATTATACTTAGAGTCCCTAGTCTAGCGCTTTTCTGTACTAAGGTTAAGCCATTCAAAAAATCTCTGTGAAAATAGTTTGTGTATACAGTGTGCACAATTCGCATTTAAAGAATTTAGGGACACTGCTACTCGAGATTTCCTGTGTGTCCGATTATAACAATTACTACTTTATCAGTGGTCTCTTAAAACCAGAAGTTAATTAAATAGCGTCCACTGTAAATAATTTATAGAAATCCTGCCTGAAGCACTTAGTTTCCAGGCAGACCTACAAAAGAGTCGCTATTCCTATGTAATAACTCAGTCACGTTATCTGAAAAAACACCAAAAAATTCCTGCCTAATTGTTATAAATTCCGAATTTGAGTGGTTTATTTAGATATAGTGGACTTTGATCAATATTTTTTTAAAGACAAAAGCAATACTAGGTACAACTATGAATATTGCATTCAAAGTTTTCTCTTCTTGCTAATGTGAGCGACGAGGCGAGTCTTTTCATGTAGTACTATACTCTCAAATCTGCTGGCAGCGTGGCTCTAAGAATCATGCATCAAAAATACTCTCTCAAGCTTGTGACGCAGAAGGGAATTTGGAATACGGTAAACGTGTTGGGAAAAAAGAATTTGTAATAGTAATTGGACTGAGTGGAGTAAAATTCAGGGAGTAATCGTATCTATAACGAAATTCTCGATCGTGATTGGTTCTCCGCGCGCCTGTTTGTCACGTAATCGGCGCGCGATCACGTGGGTGTGCAATTAGAGGTATCCAATTCGTGCTCGTCCGATTTTGAAATTACTCGCGCGATTTCTCCTTGAATTGTACTTTACTCGGTCCAATGACTGTTACTAATCGCGAGAGTAATTTAAAAATCGGACGAGCTCGAAGCCCGGGGCCGATTTGAAATTACGAGCACGATTACTCGCTGAATTGTGCGACACGAGGTCTAATTACTAATTAATCGTAACTATAACAAATTTCGGAATTAAAAATGCCCTTTGAGAACTTCCTTTGCGCGAAAACGCCTGTAACGCTTTTCATAGGTTTTGAAAAGTGTAGGAAACGGTGCGAAGGAAACCATTAAAGTGGACGTAATTGACGTATGAATCACGTGGGRATCCAATTATAAACAATTATTGGATGAGGTTTTTGTGATATCCAGAATAATCAAGGTCGAGGTAGGGGTTATCAGCCGAAGGCTGAGGCTGATAACCCTTACTGAGACCTTGATTATTCTGGATATCACAGAAACCGAATTTAATAATTGTTTTATTATACATTGAACGAAAAAAAAAATGGGAAGTCATATTTTTGCCTCTTCACTGACGGCAAGCAACACAAAGCGCGCAAACTTGACATGACTTTCCTTAGAAATCATGCACCGCGGTCATACATTACATACATGGATTACCCGCGACCTTGAGTGTCCTTGACATAATTATTGTATAATCTGCAGCTACATGACATCACAGGCGCTGATTTGGAATTTCGGCCAAGAAGAAAAGAGATAGTTCAATGTATAATAACAGGTTTTCAATTACGACAAGTTCAAACTGGATACCTGTAATTGGTCACCCACGTGATCGCGCGCCGATTACGTGACAAATAGGCGCGTGGAGAACTAATCACGATAGAGAATTTTGTTACAGATACGATTAAGATGCAAAATTCTTCTGCCCTTGTATATTCCTCTCTAAATTGACTTGCCCCAAACTCCCCAATACTGCCCGATCTAATTTTGAACGTCCTTTTTTTGGCCATACTTTGTTTTTCTTTGAAGCTAACAGATATTTCACTTTTTGGGAATACGTGTCATTAGTGAAGTTTACGGTTCCTAGAATGGCTGCTAGATAGCTCCAATTCTTGACGTCAAATATAGGTACCCAAAAAAAAATAAGTCATAGTGATTCTGATAAAGATCTAGCTACTGTGAATTAGCAAGTTGCATGAGATTAAACAGGCCGTAATTGCACTTTTGTGGGTTCATATCATATTTTATCGAGGCTGCAGTCAAGGTAATTTTGCTGGGGGGGAGGGGGGGGGGAGGGAGGTAAGATACTGAATGTATTTGTTCGCGTATTTGATAGCCAGTGTGGGAAGGGTTTGGACAAGAATACGAGGAAGTGGAAGGGTCGTCACTTATCATTCAGCCTTACCTCTGCTGTCTACGATACTTTTTTCTCTCTCCCCAAGCCTGCCCTTTTGATGCTCGCCCTATTAAAATGCACTCACTCGACCATCACAAATACGCCTAGATTGCAGACTAAGTTTGATCCGCAAACATTTTATTCAGGTTGTGAACGTTGGTTTGGTTTACCTATTCCCAGTTGTGTTTATTAATCCCAAGCCCAGTGGCCAATCTCAGTTCTAGCGTCTTACATCCCACTCCCAAGTGCAAGAAGGAGGCAAATCCCACTTACCATTAGTCTTCTACGAAGACGCTCTCTGTTTCGTTGGCTGCGACAATCCAAAGGAGCGTCTGTGTAGGAAGCTACTATTGATCAATTTAACACAACCTTTCTCCCATCAGCAATATAAAATGGGGCGTTTTAGTTTTAGCACAGTTTTATTTCTCTTTTTATTTCAACTCACTAACTGAAATTGTAAGTTTCTATCAGTTTTAATCACTGAGGACCCCGTGTTTGAGTAACAAATACTTTTTTCACTGAGGTCGATTGATGAAAGAGTGAGCTCAATTTTTGAGGGCTTATGCATTATAAATGCATACAACCCTATAATTCAGGATAAATCTCGTGGCTATGTATCTATGTATATGGTGGGATGACACGTGACAGACCTCAGGGAGCATAATTTGCCCTATAAGTAGACTGAGTACTAGTAGTTTTGAGTGATCTTTCGATGGCGGCCATTGCCTGGGTTCCTGCAGTCTGCTGGGTGTATCTTTTCATTTCGTGTCGCCTGCGCCCTTGCTTTGTTTTGCGTAATCCCTGTACTGCTTACATTTGCGAGTGATTTGCAATTTTCAAGGTAAGTTATTTCCGATTTCTCAAACGTTTTGTCGCAGTCATGTTTGTTTTGTTTTTTCCTTTTATCGAAAATTTCTGATTTCTTTAGCGATGAAATGTCTTGTGTATCCTTTGTTATTTCATACAGGTGTTCCTGCTGAGCGAGTTTCTCCGTTGATGCAAGGGTATCATGCGTTACTGAATCGTTGTACTCGTGCTGTGTAGAGTCGAATTGCTGAGCTTACTGGAGGTGTTAACTACATGGAAAGGTTAATCTGCGCGTACGATCGGCTGTCACAAAGCGCAAAATCTTATCACATGATACAGGTGTATGTTCAACCGGGATGGTGGAATTTAATACTTGCGATGTTTCAACTGTAATTTACTTGTCAACATTGAAACAAATTATGGATACTATAGAATTTATGACAAATTGGAATCAAATGGTGTTTTGGATTACACAAATGATCTGAGACAATGTCCACATCCCATTGCTTGTAGCGCAAAACAAGTGATGTGGAGGAAAATCCAGACCAACAACCACTGTGTCTGTCGACTACAAATCAAGAAAATGAGGCACTCTTTGGTGAAAATGCCTGTAAGCATTGTTTTGCTCTGTCACATGACTCACATCAAATAGAAGAATGATATTAAACTGCAGACTAATTCTACTCAGTTAGCTGAATACGTTTATTAGATATAACCTACACAGTTCTACAAGATACTATTTGCAATAAAATAGCCATTTGCTGTTTACTGACGGGGCTGTTATTAAGGCCATAAAAGCCATAACCTCTTACTGCTGACTATCTTTGATGGGCTTTCGATGTTACTGATTACCTGCCTGTTATTTATACAATTCACATACAATGTAAAACGTTTGTAGTGGGTGTGAAGATCAAGTCAACTAACAGGTGACTCAAAATTTAATGACTGCCCTGACTGATACATGTACATGTAGCTAACTAGCATTTCAGGAATGGTTTCAAGTCTTTATAAAATGTATACAACACAATACAGTACAATTACAAATACCTTTATTTTATTATATAGACACGAGCGTTTTACTTGACGAATAAAGAAGCCTAAGCCGTGTATTACACTGTGATAAAACACGACGGGCATTTGAGAACACGAAGGAAATGTGGAAAACAAGAGCCGCAGGCCAGTGTTTTCTACACTTCTCGAGTGTTCTCAAATGTCCGAGTGTTTCGTCACAGTGTAATACACGGCTTAGGCTTCTTCATTTGCTTTATGATATAGAAGTAATGTGGCGAAAAACAATGAAACACGCTTTTTCTATGTTTTATTTAAGCAATAGACCACTCTTTCTATGGGTTTACTGGCGCATTAAACCACTTGGGATTTTGGGAGAACACTCGAAAAGCCTGTAAATCACTCGCCTAACGACTCGTGATTTACAAGCTTTTTTCGTGTTCTCCCAACATCCCAAGTGGTTTATTGCGCCGGTAAACTTTTTCACTGCAAAGCATTACCGATCTAGATGCCGGTCTATAGGGGAAAATCTAGACCGCTTTCAATATCGATTCCAGCAAATCAAATTCGCGGATTTGGTACCAGTCCTTGGGAGACACAAGGACTGGTTCAATTATGAGTACACTGTTTTACAAGATTGCCGTGTGGGAGCCTCAATGACATTTGTTATAAAGTTGGTCAATTTCCCAAGTGTCCAAGAGAGTGTGATTTCCGTAAATAAACGGGTAGGCTATTCCACAGCAGCGCGCTACTTTAGCCAGTCACGCTTGCCTATATTTGCCTATATGCCTTGTCCATGGAAGATGTTCGCCAATTACCAGGCCAAGTGATTTGGTTTCTTTAACTTTTTCCATAAATTTGCCGTCGATATCAATATTAATTTGGTTATTCAAGAGAGCATGTATTCGTTGATTTGACCCAATTACCAAAAAATTAGTTCTAGCAACATTGAGGCTTAGCCTATTGATTACAAGTCAGCAATTAAGTTTTCTTAGTACTGAGTTAACGACCTTTTCAAGGTCAGCTATTGTACTGGCAGCGTAGGTTATATTCGTGTCGTCAGCGACCATCCTCGCAGAGGCTGAAGTGAGGCATTTGGGCAGATCATTAATGTAAATTAAGAATAGGGGTCGTCCAAGGTTGCTACCTTGTGGGACACGACAGGAAATTAAACTGGGGCAACAATCAAAAAATAGCCATTTATGCTGCATTTTTGGCTACGGTCGCAGAGATATGATTTAAACCATTTGAGACTACTCGTGTCAACACCATACTTATGAAGCTACTTATGAGGAGGTTATGGTTAATAGTATCAACGACTTTTTTAAGATTAACCAGACCATTGTCGATGTTGACCAACTGGCTATTTGTGCCTTCAATCAATGCAGTAAGTATTAGTATTTACTTTAAGTCCTGATGTTTTACCCGTGTATAAATAAAGTTATAAATAAATAAATAAATAAATAAATAAAATAAATAAGTGTATTATGTAGGAATCGAAACCCAAATTGGCAGCGAGTTAGTAAGTTGTTAAAAATAAAAGTGATACTCGTAAAGCTGGTCGTATATGATCTTTTCGAAAATTTTTGTATGTCTACCCGGATTCAGGCCGTGGTTCATTTTCATATAAACCCCCACTATATCTCGTGGATGCTTCACATATCCACGAGACTAAAAGGAAAAATTTCATCCGTTGCTTCCGAAAGTTAACACAAATGGCGTGATCATTTGCTCTTATAGAAACAAAATAAAACGCTAAAACAACCTGTCACAAATGTTCAGTCTCCAAGGTCGACAAGCCAGTTCCGTAACAAAAGGAGTAAATGTAGTGTCGTGAATCTGTACAACGTGGTTGAACTCGTCTTTCCAAAATCAATAGCCCAACCAATCGTCAATCAAACGTTTTATGCCTGTCTTTCGTAGCCAAAATCAGGATTCCACGATGAACTACACAGGAATCTTACATGAGGAATGAGAAGAATCATTACACAGGAATGCAGCCGTGTCCCTTCATATCCTCCTGTCCACGTTACGTTCACGTGGACTCGAGGCAAAAAGTAAATGTGGGTTAAACTTAATCTCGCATGGCATTTACTTTTCAATTATACCTACGTGGAACTTGTTAATTACAGTGAAT